TGGCAGTTATTGGTTACTTCCCCTTATATCCCACAAACCGATTTAGATGAAACTTCTAATATTATGTATATACATAAATTTTCAAAATGTAAAATTGACGATTCAAAAGTGCTGGTAAAAATCTATTTGAATAAATTATATTTTGATTTGATTTGTCAACCCTAGCTATTATGTAAGCTGTACGTGACCTAGAATATGGAGGACGATGCGCGCACCCAGAGGGTTCGATCTACACGCGACATAGTGGCATAATATTTTTATTAGTTGTTTAGTTTTCATATTGTTCCATCTCATCAATATTGTTTTACGATTCGTGATATCTCTCTATACAAAATTGTTTATGTACAACATTGAGATATGTATATGAGTACATATGAGTTATCTATACTTCTATCCTAATATTATAAAGTGGTAAAGTTTGTGAGTTTGTGACGTTGTAGCTTGTAGGGCGTTATCTCTGGATCTTATAACCGATTTAGATGAAATTTGGTAGGAAGATAGTTTGATATCTTGGGAAGGACATAGGAGACTTTTTATTCCGGAAATCACCCCTTAAGGGGGAGAAAATGGGGATGAAAGTTTGTATTGGGAAGCAAGCTAGGGACGAACCCGAGCGAAGCTAGGGTGAGTCGCTAGTGTTATATATATCCTATATATATCCATTACCGTGTCTTTATTGATTGTATAGATTTATTATGGCTCATCGTATTTTTTGTCAACATACCCAAAATTGACTGTTGTCAGATTAGATCGGTCTGTATTCATAATCCTAGTCGCTATCGTTGTAAATCCGCGATGTGTTGACATTGCTATATTTAACGGACTCCATGGCTTTACCAGATCCACGCTCGTCTGTGATAAATAGTTATTATTATAAATCTTGTTTGCGTTATTTTTAACCGAGGAAAAAAGGAGGAGGTTCCCAATTCGACAAATATTTTAAAGTTATACTTCTTTTGGGGCATTTGGAAAAAAATATGAGAGTAAAATTTTTACGACGCGCGCGCACGCAGACAGCCAAAAAGGGACATGATGAAGTTAGCTGATAACTTTGTTTGTCGCCATGGTAACCATTGTGACAAATAATATATTATTTATTTATAATATGTATATATTTAAAGTTATATATGTGTAGTGTATCAACTATCTGGTATCCATAACACAAGCCTCGTAGCTTACCATGGAACAAGGTGGTGCTGTGTGTTAATGTCCCAACATATTTATTTATTTATATTATATTATTTCCTTAAATGATATTCTATAAATACCTATATGATTGTAATATGCCTAATATGCTTTATTTAATTATTTTATTTTTTATGTTTGACCACGCACAACTTTTTACAGTGTAGTCCGAATTCGATGATTCTTTTTTATTGGATAGGGTAAGATATACCTCAAAGTCCATTTAAATAGGAAAAACAATATCACCCCTAAGTGTAGAAAATACTGGGGATGATTGACTTTTCACCTAATGATTTTTTAAAATACTTTCTTCTTACTTGGCTACTACTATTACTATATGTCTACACTAAAAATGGAATAATAGAAACTTAAAAAAATAAAATAAAAACCGATTTCAAACAAACACTAAAAAGTGAAAAATAACTGCTTGGTAGTTTTCATTTACTATAGATACCTAAACAGATATTGTCGAAGTCGGTACCAGCCGATACAAATCAAAGCAAAGCTTACATCACAAATTGGTGTATAATATTTTAAAGTATAATTAAAGTACATACCTTGTCATATTTACCTTTTAAATAAAACTATCTTTTCGGATTTTTTCGCGGATTTATTTGGATTTTTGGTTCCCGACGTTTCGAATAGTCACGGGAGAGACTGAAGTGTTAGATGTCTCGAAGGTATAGTTGTTACAGACAGCCTATCCACAAATAACAAAATGAAAATTGCACTCATTACCTTACAATAATTTTCAACCTTAAACATTTTTATAATTTTAATTAGTTTTATAATTCATATTTACCTATTAGATATTAGATATTTACCTATTAGATATTCATATCTTAAAGCATTGTCGGCTGGCACCGAACCTAGTACCTAGGTACCTAAGCATAGCATATGTGCTACTTCAAGTCGTTATCCATCTGTGGTGTTAGTAACATCTAAATCTATCCAGTTATTTCAGCGTCTAGGAGCAACAAAGATATATACGCACATACTTTCCTATATAAAATATTAGGCCCAATTTCTGACATACAAAAATTTTGTTACGGTTGTTGCTCCTTTCGCAATCTCGGACCGTTTTGAGGAACGTTACCATCGATTGCTTTATCTGTATCGAGATTAGCGTTCGTCGAACTCATTATGTAATCGCAGGATAATTTTTTAATTTAACCTACGAGTTTGTGCTATATTTTTCTCATACAAAATCTTATAATATATGTGTTAAAAGATATTACAATGTAGAATTATCTATACTTTTGGTAGTAGCTAATAAGGTATTTAATTAATCATTATGGAAGCCCGGATTTGTTGTCAGGAAGAAGTTGTTACTCGAACTCGTAGTATATTAGATTGTAAATTGTTAAACTATAATTATTCTGTTATACCGATTGATATGCATCCTGTGTATAAATTGATAGTCTAGACGGCTTTATTTGCCCTTTTTAGCGAGTATTATAACCTATAGCGTTGCCTGATTTGGATTTTTCCCATATCCTTTTCTCAATCTTCTTTTATCTTCTCCATATAAATAACAATGAATGTTCGTATGTTTGTTGCCTATACTTTCCTAAACCGTTGATCCGATTTTGATAAAACTGGTGGATTAATCAGTATACGCCTGCGAAGCTTTCTGGCGCAAAAAGAGATATTTTTTCTTTGAAAGTTTGTCTTTTATGCATTCCGAAATAGTTCAAGCTTAGGGACGCACCCGAGCGAAACAACGTTAAGTGGCTAGTGTGAAAATAGAGTTCTTAGTGTATAGTTGTGTTGATATCTAAATTCGACATCGTTAATGCTGATATAAAAATAGTGGAATTTATCGCATAGTCTAAATATTAAAAGCGTCAGTTTCATACTAGAATTATTCAATAATGTAGGTATAATTGATGTTGTGTAAAATCGTGTTCTTATTCTATTCTTAATGTAAATGTGTAATTTTATTTATTGTGTTAATTGTGCTTATTATGTTCTTTATTTTAAATACTAGGGACTCACCTTCGCTTCGCTCGGGTTCGTCCCTAGGTTGACTCCCCATACAAACTTTTATCACGATTTTCACCCCATTAAGGGATGACTTCTAGGATAAAAAGTATCCTATGTCCTTCCCAGGGTGTTAAACTATCTTCTTACCAAATTTCATCTAAATCGGTTCAGTAGATCCAGAGATTACCTCCCACAACGTCACAAACTCACAATTCACAAACTTTACCTCTTTTTAATATTAGTATAGATTATAACTTTTAAAAGTAGTTTAGAATCATAAAATTTTCCTTTTGTCTAATTTTCAAAACTTCGCGACGAATATATTATTATCTTCTTATCGTTGCTCAAGAAAATATTGATCCGAACCGTCTGTTTGAACAGCTCTGCGAGGATATTCAAATAGAGCAACTTGTTTTATTTTTCGACATACTACGAGGAACAATTGTAATAGATACTTACCGATTTTTTTTTTCAAATTTTATTTTTTTAATAAACATTTAGACTAATATATGCCATTAAACACTGTGCATAAACTATAACTCATACTAAACGTTTCAATGTCACTATAACATATGTATTTATGCGTAGGTACAGTTTATAGACAAAATGTATAATTTATACGAGCGGACCAATACAGCCCGACCTTGTCCGTAAAGTGGATAATCACGAGTGGACTTGCGAATATGTCAGCGACAGATTGGATAACAGATTTAAATGTGTTTACGAATTCAATTTGCGCGACTCGTACAAGACACGATTTTTTCACAAAAAATCTCATTAATTTTCAAAATTCTCCAACTGATACTAATTCCATTTTGGTGATCGAAATGTGTGCACAAATATTTAAGGTTCCAGTCATGCTAGCTCAAATATTTATATTCGAGATGAAGTGTGTGGCTCATTCAACTTGTTTGCTCCTTGTCAAGTTTGTGGCAGATATGTTGTTTTTTCTATATGGAAATTTAAAATAATAACCAATTTTATGATGACTTAAGTTCTTTTTTATGACTGATTATCATGTTTTATCTTATAGTCATATTTTGTTATAAATATGTATGTATATATTACTAAAGATTTACCCTCGCTTCGCTCGGGTTCATCCCTAGCTACGTCTTAACGGTTAGTACGGAATTGGTAGACTATGTACCTACATTATATATACAAAGGTACAAAATACATAAACAAGTCTGATCTGTTCGCTTTTCCAGTTGTTTTTTTTTTTTGGGTTTTCGCTATTTTGTTATACATAAATCACTCCTGACACACTCCCAAGAAAAAAAAAGAATTATTCAAATCGGTCTAGCCGTTGAGTTTTAGCGAGACTAACGAACGGCAATCGATTTTTATATACATATATTTAAGACATATTATCATTATTTTTCATTTTTAATCTGTGACATGTACAACATTTTAACCAATACCGTCATTTGTTGGTACGCAATGTCATTAAAATTCTGTAGGTTTTTCTAAAGTAACAGGCTCTTAAAGTTACTAGAATCTTAGGTAACTTAATACAGTTAAGGCTTAATGGGATTTTTTTTAAGCGTGGCGACAGGAAACGCATACGTATTCTGTTGACACAGTAATTGAACGTTGAATTAATAATATTTCCTATTTAACAAATTCTAATATGATTTTCTACTTTCACGATATAATTATAGAGCTATTAGTACTAGCTATTATATTTTTTATTATTACATATAAATTACCGTTTTTTTTATTTTAAAAAGGTTGCCCGCTTTGATGCGTTTTTGCATTAATGTAATTTATATATGATTCGCCAATGTATTGAATACTATGTTATTTTATTAAAAAACATTTTTTACCAGGTCTTCGGTACAGTGGAATTGCCGGACAAGCCGATCATGCTCCCACCGTTCGTGGAAGCGACTCACTGTCTCGGATACCACCTGACCCGCAAGGGTCGGGCGGTCGCGGACCGCGTGGTGTCCGTACTTGGTTACGCCTGCCCCGACATCACGTACAGCCCCAGTCTCTACCCCATCACCGCTGCCCTATTGCACTTTATGCCTGGTAAGTTAGAATTATTTTTAACCAGCTAACTTATCTTTGGTTTGTTCGGTTGCCTAACAGTAGCCTATGTGTTACTCCAGGTAGACTATCTGTGTACTAAACTTCATCTTTATTCGTGCAGCTGTTTCCATATGAAAGAGCAACAAACAAACAAACATACATACAAACATACATACATACATACATACATACATACATACATACAAACAAACTTTCGATTTTATATATACCTAGTCATAAACAAACACGTTATATCTATATTCTATATACATACGTTTTTTTAGAAGTAAATTATTCATACGGTTAATGACAGGTATTTGTTTATTAGGTTGTGTATAATTTATGGTATTGTTATTCAGAAAAATATTTTTTATCGATACTATATTATATCTATACATCTATCATATAATAAAATTGTAACTAAGTCGAATCTGTACATTATATATTTTTTGTAAAATCTAATAGAAATAGACATTATTATCGACACAGAGTCCGAATCTATAGTTTTTAGAATTTTTGTCTGTCTGTCTGTTACCGCATCACGAGAAAACTACTGGACAGATTTTGATGGAATTTGGTATGATGATAGCTGGTTATGCGGGTCAACATATAGGATACTTTTTACCGGGGGAAAATATCGCATTTCTGAGAAAAAATACAAAAACTGCATTATAAGAGTATACTAATATGTAAAACCTAAGAATTTGGTTTTTGGTCATCTGAACGCGGGCGGAGCCGCGGGCAATGCTAGTTTATAATAAAACTTTAGCTTTATCAGATCTTAGAGTAAGAATTAAATTAAAGTTAGCGATCATATGTTATTTCACAATTGTTGCAAACCACCAACTCTTATCGTATAATAATATTTGCAATGATAAATACTCATTTTTAACATCTGGGATCATAAACGACATATCATGAAACATGAATTTTATTTTGGTCTTAAACATATTAAAATTTGTTTTGTTATTTTAGTAGTTTTGAGACGTTTTAAATCATTTTATTCATATTTTCTATGGAATAATCAATCTGCTACTTATTTAGTAAAAAACACATATATTACGTCTAGCATTGCTCGCGTCTCCGCCCGCGTTCAGATGACCATAACCCAAATTCTAAAGTTTTACATATTAGTATACTCTTACAATGCAGTTTTTGTATTTTTTTCTCAGTAATGAGATATTTTCCCGCAGTAAAAAGTAACAGACAGACACAAAAATTCTAAAAACTATAGATTCGGCCTTGGTATCGATAATAATGTCTATTGCAATAAGATTTTCCAAAAAATATTTAATATACAGATTCGGCTAAGTTACAATTTTATTATATGTATAGATGAGATGTTTAAAAATACAGCGTTGAATAGCAAATGAAGATTTCATACTTGGCTGTAATTTTCGTGATAAACGAGTCACGTCCGACCGAAACGCGAATGTTATAAATATTAATTAGCTCTAATAAGTGTATTGCAGCTAATATAATTTAACGACATAATATATAATTTGACGACACGTTCGGCTCAGTTTGTAGTGACCCTACTTGCTGTGCCAGCGGTCGTGGTTTCGAGTCCCGCTGGGGTCATTCATTTGTGTGATGACGAATGTTTGTGCTCCAGTCATGGGTTATAATATGTATGTATTTAAAGTTATACATCTGTAGTGTATCAACTATCTGGTATCCATAACACAAGCCTCGTAGCTTACCATGGAACTAGATGGTGCTGTGTGTAATGTCCCAACATATCTATATAATTTATACACTTACGTGTATTTGAAATTATCTGCAAGTGTGACTTTGCCTTTAGCTGTTTTGCAATAAGTGTTTTCATTTTTGGTACACTCAAGTAATAACTGGTTACAGAAGACATGCTTTCAATTCAGTAGAATTGCAGAGGCGTCACAAAATTTACAGTCGGTCTCGGCTTAATTCAGTAATGAGTGCGGGGGGCGATAATTGAACTCGGCAATAGGCAAATTGCTATAGTCCTGGTTGACGCTATGGCCTTAGTAGTAGACCAAAGCGGACCGTGCTCCGATGTAATAGATGCCACAATATCTTGTATTGAAAAATTAAGATCTGACATATCAAAATATAAATTAAACTCTTCTCCTTTACGACAGAGTCGGAAATACCTTTTCTTCGGACCTATTAAAGTTGACGTGATCACGATTAATAGTATACCGGCATATCACAGTCACATTAAGCGTCTACGGTGCAGTCGATTTCCTACCTCTTAATTATCTTGTGTCGTTTCTATTAGCTGTATTGCGTTCAATATGACAAGTTATATAAGATTGTACAAACACCGTTGATGTCGCAGAATGGCTTTAAACCTTTAATGGGATCCAATTGAAATAATGGCATTTGTATCACTTAGGCAGCCAAAGGGGCAACTTGATTTCAAAGTGCTCGTTTCCCATTACCTTGATAATAGAACTATGTATAGAATTGTATTGGTGTCATGAGATATTTTCCTGCGGTAAAAAGTATCCTATATGTTGACCCGGATAACCAGCTATCATCATACCAAATTTCATCAAAATCTGTCCAGTGGTTTTCTCGTGATGCGGTAACAGACAGACAGACAGACAAAAATTCTAAAAACTATAGATTCTGCCTCTGTATCGATAATAATGTCTATTTCAATAAGATTTTCCAAAAAATATTTAATGTACAGATTCAGCTTAGTTACAATTTTATTATATATGTATAGATGTTTATGTCGCTTTTATCAAACTTATAAAATCTAAAGCCCTTTTAATATATGCAGTAACTCGAATCTTCCTACGCTATATTTTTCGTACGTACACAATTTTTGTTGCTCATACTTAATGTTGTTTGGTGTATCTATTTGGCGTGCGTCCGTGACACTGAGTCCTTATTATCGTTGACCGTCGATTCCAACTGGATCCCAATGAAGAGTTCACGTAGCCTATTGGTATTTGTTTTTGTTTGAAATGTCACTATGTAGTGGCCGCTCAATATAAACTGGGGCCTCCATCCACATCTTAGCGGTTGGCTTGTCGCCAGTACCTGCACAAACAAACAGAGTTTTAGTCTGTTGTCGTTTTTTTTTTTTATAGATCCAACATAGTTTTATAATTGAAAATTGTAAATATGTTTTAGTGCCGCGATTTGATATTTTGTTCTTTGCAACTTAGTATTTTCAACATTATGTTTTGCCAACCAAATTTGTTATATTATATTTGATCTTTGAAAACCTCAAATGCCAACTATATTGAAGTCAATTGAAACCCAATCGGAATACGCACAAAGGTCAAAGGGCTGTGCAAAAAGCTCCAACAAACCTTCCCATTACATGTTCGATCGATGCGCATTCAGCCGTAACCAGAGCTCTTCCTGTTCTTTTTTTACTTAAACCAGATGCCTTATTACACTTGTGTCACGTATTGCTGCTTCATTTATGTTCTTGAAAGTTGTTTTTCAAGTGGTACTACACTTTGTCCACCTTTTTTCATCCGATTCGCAGATGAGGGAGGCCCTTGTCTTCTCATCTCTTTAAAGTATCGATCGGGAACTTAGCAAGAGTTACGATTTTGCACAAACTGTCGTGCCTACGTTTATTAAAAAAGTTTTAAAAGCTTCTAGCGAATATGTGAAAGGTGATTGAAAGATTTCCTCTATATAACGGCGTTATTTTATTTAAATATGTAAAAACTTGAATATCGCCGAGTGATATTCGTTAACAATTTTATTATCATATAAGGAAATACTTAGTAGCAGCCTCTCAAACTTGCACTAATTTTAACTAACACAATACGAAATACTAACATATAAAAGCAACAATATATTTTATTAAGAACTTATATTTATAATATCACACTTTGTATTCCAGCACACTTCAAAAAGTTGTTCGTTTTAATGTAAAATAATGTTAATATTAATTTTTTTCGTGTAAGTTCGCGTGTTCAAAAGCTACTTAAGATCGTTGATAACAGTAAATATGATTTTTCGTTCTTTACTGCATTATATTGCCTTATTTTTTTGTATAGAAGGAATTTCCTTGTATAAAAGAACTAGCGACTCACCCTCGCTCTGCTCGGGTTTATCCCTATTTACGTTTTAACATTTAGTATAGATTTCTCAGAGATGAGATATTTTCCTGCAGTAAAAAGTATCCTATATGTTGACCCGGATAACCAGCTACCATCATACAAAATTTCATCAAAATTCCTCACTGGTTTCTCCGTGATGCTTTAACAGACAGACAGACAGACAAAAATTCCAAAAACTATAGATTCGGCCTCTGTATTGATAATAATGTTTATTGCAATCAGATTTTCCAAAAAATATTTTATGTACAGATTCGGCTTAGTTACAATTTTATTATATGTTGTCGTATTATAATTAACTTATACATAGTTGCTCTTATATTTTTTTTATTGTTCTTAACTCCATACATCCTCCATTATGAAATTGTCTTGACCTAGTTTACAAGGTGTAAACTCAAAGGATAAATGACTACGTGCGGTGTAAGACACGCCCATGTTATTTCTTGTTTCTAGCTTTAATTAAGTCATATTCCCCAATGACTCCTTTATTTCCAATATATGACAGTATAGATGTACGAGTAATATCAGCTACAATGAGAAATAGAACATACGAGTACCTACAGACGACACTTGCGTATTTGTCTTGAGATTATTTTTCAATTTGTCCAGCATTAATGATATACCACGAGTGGGTTAGGTATATGTTATGACGATTGCCTTTGTGAGATAATGATGGTGCAAGTGTTGTTTGTTAGGTGGACTTTGAAATTTAAAATGGCGTCAGTAAATATAATAGAAAAGGATAATTTGGATTTATACTCAGGTTTTTTTATATTAACATCATTTATCTTTTTCCAAGCTTTTATTTAACTTGCAATAAATATTTTGGGACATTAACACACAGAACCATCTAGTTCCGTGGTAAGCTACGAGGCTTGTGTTATGGATACCAGATAATTGATACACTACACATATATAACTTTAAGT